GTTTAGGGTCATGCATTTTTTTTTAACATTGTGTTCTATGGAATTGTTCTATAAATAACAAGTTTCTGAAAAATGTAACTGTAACAAACAAAAGAATATTTCATTGTGCCATGGAACAATAGCTCTATGATTATACATAATAAACCAATAAACATTCTAATGTGATTTATGACCAACGTTTGCAAAAATTACAAGTATCGCAGGCTTCTACCTTAATTTCTAATATATTAATATAATTGACAGTACCCTGGTACTAAATTTCCAGACTTAATTGAGCCAGATGATAAAAAGTATGGTCACAAAACCACTTTCTTCTATTTCAGTTGCAAAACACTGCTATACCCCTGACAAATGCACACCCCACTCAATGATCTCTGTTACAACCCTTATGAAACTTACCTTGACTTCTCGTAAATTCATACACTCGTCCCATGAGTAAAATTTCTTTTTCATTCTGTGGGTACATAATTAAAATTATAATTGTAATTAAAATTAATTAATTTAATTAAACAACATTTGAAACAGTCAGTCAGCTACATATTTGTACATTATGTTTAAATGTACTGAAACTGAAGTCTTAATATCTTTTATTCAAACATGATTAATTGTTTCTGGAACTCGTATCTGTATGTATACAGGTATCACAAAATTAAGATTTAATTTTCTTTTCATTCCCTCATTGTCTGGATTTGTCCCCTTTAAACAAGACCTTCCACACTTGGTCTATTTGTAGTGCTATTTCTAATATTTGGCTGTTTTCCTTTCATTTTCGTAGTACTGTAAAATGACTAATTTTCACTGGGTTTAAATTTTGCTGATTTACCATTTCAGGCATATTCAGTGGGTTTTAAATTTACGGTTTTATCATTTAGATAATGTGTTCTATGCCGAATTTTACATATTCACAGGGTTTTAAATTTAGTGCATTTTCCATTCAGCGAAATAAGCAAAACCCAGTGAATAATTAATCTTTTACAGTACTCTATTAATCCCTCTAACTTACATATAATGCTCATATCAACACTAGAGGGCAATCAAAACCACCAGAGGGCAATGTTTGTTACCCTATGGTCTGAATATTTTTTTTGGGCTAAGCAGTGGGCCATGTTTTAATAACCCATAAAGCTTTAGGATTCTATAATAAGAGTCTCCCACATTTACTAGTCATTTACTATTCTTCCACAATGACATTATTCGTTTTCCTGCCCAAATAGCAACAATGAACCACATACACTTTAAAATCGTAAACTTGAAATTTGTAGATGTACCGGTATAAATAAACTGAAAAACGTGATGACCTTTAACGTTACACAAATTTAATGCCTAGGCTATACAAGTCTGAAAGCTGCCACGTAGAGAAGTAGCCTTCCTGTCCACAATACAAGTGCAGCTGCAGTACACGCTGATGTCAGAATAGACATTGTGCCCAGATAGACACTCAGAACTAAAAGAAACCCAACAACTGAATAGTACGCCATGTGACAATAATGATATTCAGTGAAGCTGCTAAACAGTCATTCTGGGAGGGGTGAGTCTGCTCTCTATATAATGGCAGCTACACACAGACATTCATTGCATTGATTTGCAATCATGTGTACACAACCATGTATTGATGTGTGTGAAAATTATATTGAATTTGATTCTCCTGATAACCTAACAAACTTTCTGAAATTCAGTTACTATAAACTGTCTGTACGATCATGTACAAGACACTATTAAAAAAACTGTGTTGATTTGATTTAATAATAATAATAATTGCATCTTTAGAAATACACGTTTCTAAAGAATAAATAACAATTTTGTGTTTTGTACATACTACCGGTAATAATTAGAAAATTAGGATGGTCTAAAAGTACATACATAATATTTTATGACTTTGTAAATAAAATAAATTTCAGAGCTAAACGGAAACCAGGTGAAGTCAGTGAAGTACTTTGCACATTTAAAAAAAGGGAGGTAGATTATATTTCAGCCTAGAACCAGTGACCTTATCAGCTCATTAAAGAAATACAAATACATGTAAGTCGATGCCTCCTCAGAAAATATTGATGACTTGTCACATAATACTTGACTAATAATGCCAGTGGAGAATTTTCTTTAATACTTGTTTTATAGAGATGTAACTATGGCAACCAAACATCTGCTCAGTGATACATTGCATAAAGAGAAAATTGCAGGATAAGTCCAATCAGCCATATTGTCATTGTAACAACTCACACTCTTTAAAATTGAAATGAAAAATTCAAGATCAAAACGTTGTTGCCATGCGAGAAAATACGAAACTTAAAAAGATGCAATACGGATGTTTTTTAACATTGTCGTTCAATACTGTGAACCTTGAAAGGTAGAAGGACTACCTTCCAGATGTGAATGAAATTGAATAATAATTTATTACATGTATAAACTAATAATTTTGTGGTTGCAGGTCATACAATAGCATTTATTAGATGGAAATCAAAAATACTAAATATGTATATCGATTGTAATAATACATATCAAACAATTAGTGCATATGGGTATTAGGAATTACAATGTTTTACTGAACGAATACAACAAGAACAATGTTTTCATCATAAAATCATAGTCCAATATATTCATCAACATACATTATCAAACAAAAATATTAAAAATTACATGTTCTCTCCCATATTGCATAATTAAGTTTTATTTGTCCTTTACAGTACAATTCAGGCGTAATTTAACTTAAAAGCTGATTTTTTTATGAAAACAATATTGTCACCAATAATTTCAACTTATTTACTTATGTTTGTAATATAAAACATATTCAGGAACATTATTCTACATAATTTAGACATATGGTAATTTTGAAAGTAAGCTAAGCTTATGATGAGATAGCTGAAAGCTAGACAAATGTTGATTTACACTCCAATCATACTTCATGTACCGTAGATTCTATATCGCATGTATATAATTTTATATCAAATTAATTCTCCTATACTATACTGGTTATCTATATTTATCCATATTATGATATATCTACTAAAATCAACATATGAACATCATAGAAAACAATTTATATTGATAATGGTTGAAGGATTGTTAGACAATGCATGCTAAGAAACGCTGCAGGCATGCTATCTTTCTATTTGCCATCTCAATGCAATTATTGCCAGAAATATTGAAATCTGCATTCAACAGAAAAAGCCAGTTTCTTTCCCAGGGAAGCTATTTTTTGTGAATTTTCAATTTTTTTTTTCAGATATATAATGTATCTATGGTTAACAGTTCAGGAAGCTGGCAACATTGGTGTGATCATACCGAGCACAATCACGTCCTTAAAAACTGGAGCTGAGATAAGAGGCACATAAGATCTCTCCATCAGAGACATCACTCCCTCGTACAGGCATTTTATTTATTTATTTATAATACTAAACAAGGCTTAATTATTCACTGGGTTTAACTTTGTTTATTCTGTTGATAGCCCTATATAATGTTTAAACTAGAACTATCGCATGATGCAACAAATAACCACAGAATGAATTATCATTCACTTCAACTTAAAACATAATGAATACAAATGTATGAATACCGTACTGCTCTACTTCTGTAATAGAAAGATATCTCTATACGTGATCCCACATATTACATGCTGGATCAATAAAACATAACTTATTATTGACTTCAGGTACCTTTACATAACGAAGCAAGTACACCATCTAGCAGCACCAAATCCGCAAAAATTAAACCAAGTGAATATTTTTATATCTGCAGTATGTTAAACTATTCCTGATTCAGACTCCGTTTAATCAATCTCTGGAGAAATCCAATTTACCAGTCATCTGGGTATTTATCTGATTAGTGCTTGATAAAAACAATTGTCCTGAATTTTAAAATCAATAAAACTCTCAAGTGATACTTACTTTTTAATAGCAACCATCTCGCCCGTTTCGTTGCTCTTACCGAGCAACACACTGCCGTACGTCCCATCGCCTAACTGTTTCATAAACTGGTAACGATTCATCTTGTCTAGTCAGCAATGTAAATATTCCAGAGACTCGTACCGACTGATAGCAGATCACAGTGGGCGAGGAAACAAACAATGATTTATTTTTTCTACCTAGTCCTTATTCGTGACATGTTGAATTGTACATCTTGTGGTTTTTCGCAGATGATAAATAAGGTGATAAATACGAGTTAAGAAGAAAATTCCAACAGGTTGATAGTTCTTTTTGTGATTTTACTTGTTCTTGTTTTTCTGTGGTATCTGAAAAATAAAAACATTGGTCATTAGTCTGCTATCAATTTTGACAGAATTACATTGTTAATCGCATCCATGTATCCCTCATGCTGAATTTTCCACAGAAAGCGACGGTACTTAAAAATAAGCGACTTATAATTAAACGATTTACAACTATTATTACAACTCGATTAACTGTGAAAACACCAGCAAGATAATTGGATTGTTATCGGGTAATTAATAAACCATACATATTTTTTCAATTACTCACAAAAATAATATTATCGTAGAATTTACATTAATAATGTATATTATACTGGTACTAAGAGGCTACATATTTGCAACCAAATATAGTCACATCATGCCAGCCACATTACAACAAATAAATGAGCAAATTTGTCCATTTTTATCAAGATATTTAATGGGAAAGCATGTCAGTTTATCTCAAAATAAAATAATAAGATTATAGAAAACAAGTCATGGCAGAGTCCCTGTTGGTGCAATAGTAAACAAAACTGAAATGAGTCAGTCATTTTTAATCAGAACATGAAATAAATGACATGATGTATAAAATGCAAATGGGTTGCAATGAGTCGATGTATGTCAGACACATGGCTCTAGAACTGCATTTGTATTCGTTAATTTTGAAACAGATCTGAAAAAACATCATTGTCCGATTATTTATATATTATGTTGAATCTACGAATCAAGATAGCCAATAGCTGTCTATGTATAATCAAGATCTTGATTTGTAATGACAGAAATGTTTTGATTGATTTTGATTGACATTAAAATGTCTACCATTTGACCATCTAGAAACAGACTGTCAAACAGATTAATGCACATATGTGTGATATCATGTATGAAGGACGTATACAAAAAGTTTGAAAATGGTCAAGGCATGTCAGAAATATGTCTACAGAACAGTGTTCATTCATACAAAATGGCCACCAGTTGACTATTTTGAATCTGACCTGCAAAACAAAATAATGTACATCAAGGTTTCATAATGTTCAATGTATGTACATGTACCAAGTATGAACAAAATCCATTAATGCATGACCAAGATCTGGTTCCAGAATGGCTATCTTAAATTTGATTGAACACGATCAGTCAAAGCATGTCAAAGATACAGCTCCAGAACCTCATTCTTTAAAACAAAATGGCTGCCAATTGGTCATTTTGAATCTATTATTTATAGCATCAAATTACAAACTTAGCAATGACACTTATAATACTTGCACTATCATACTAGTAAGCACAAGATTGCGCAAGTGTTGCCCCAGAAAAAATAAACAGGGAGCTGCAATGATCATCAAATTTGGATGAATGAACCACACAGTTGCATATGTAATGCCATATGCTGCTTAAATATAGATTCTGACATGCATTATACCATATCTGCTCCATTAGTAAAATATGTTTACGTAAATTACAGAAGATGTGGCCAAAATAAGTAATATTTTAAAGATTAAGTATACAAACAAATGTATTATGACGCGTTTCTATTACAGCAAATGTGGTAATCATTTTAAATATAAAAAAAAAAATTTGTTTATGATGGGCGACAACAGGTAAGGGTCAGAAGTCACGATGTTTTAAAGAGAACACATAAAACAAACAAACGATGCACTCAGTGAAAAGTTCTAAATATTGAATTCATTGTTACATTTTGTTTATAGATTGGCTGGTATTAGATGAGTTGCAAATATATCATCACCTGAATTCCACAGAAGACCACTCATAAATTATCTTTAAAATGTAAATGTGCAAGGATTTACATAAAAATTATAATCTAGTGTCTAAGGTGTCTGGTTTTATTAACTGGCTATCTTTCTCATTATATGACCAAATTAACAATATACCTGTATGGAGTCAAAGAATAAAGGATGGAGTAATCAGGCATATCACCTAGGTGATAGGTGTGGCTGTTTTTTTTTATTGATGAACCCAATATATTCATAAGTAATAAAACACAATCAATTCTATTTTATTATATATAAAGTACTGACAAATGGGCTTTGTACGCACAGATGTATACAAACATTCATTCTTAATAATCTTTAAATTAAATATTTTTTTTTTAAATACAATATTCATTCATTCATTTAGAAATTTGGGACAATTGTAGATGATCAAAAATTCTATGATAATCGTTAAAAAATATTATGTATCGTATTCGGGAATAACAAAGGAAGTAGAAAAAACAAGTCATTGTCAATGACACGTCCCCGTTCCGTTCATATTTGAGTGACATATACATTCAAAGCAGATCATGACCGAAATGCACCTGCATATGTACAACACATTGTGCTAAATCTGAACAAAATCCATCCATGCATGACTGAGATCCGGTTCTGGAATTGTGAAAATGTGCGATTTCAATGCATTTTCGGCCTTAAAGCGGCCCCCATTTGGCTATCGTTAATGAGATCATGAAACAAATGCACATACATATTTGTGACATGATGTACCTTGTGTGTGTGAAGTTTGAACTTGATCAATCCAGACA